ATCTATATTAAATAATCTACATGTTGTCTGCTAGTTTTAACTTGCTCCCCCAGAGTGCACTGTGGTAAGGTCTCCTGAGCTCCAGTTAAAGTGCCATAGCCCAGCATTTGTTATTACCGACTAATGCACTTTCCTAGTTCTTTAAATTGTGCTGCTTTGAATATTTCAGTCTTGGTTCAATCACAATACCTTTTGCCTCAAGCTTTTTTTTCTTCTACACACCGGTCTCATATGGTTACCCCTAACAACCTGTCACACACATTTGTTTTGAGGCCGCAAACTGCTGCCTAAGCACCGCTACCAAAACAACGGCGTGATGATGAGACTAGTAGTGCCGTCTTCACCCCATTGATTGAGGTGTCGTGTCTTCTGCCCTTTTTTTCTCCTGGCGTTTCCATTTGCGAATACAAAGCTGCGGTGACCCATAAATATTACATGGTGTGGAGATGCAAAGCAGGAATTAATGACTGGGGCGAGTTTGGCAGGTCCCAGTGGAGTTGTGCTTAGACAGGCTGTGGGCGGAGTCTCGCTCTAATGCACTCTCACTCTTTTATATCTCTCTCTGTTGTCACACACCTTTCTCCCTCTCTTTTGCATTCTCTCTACTCCTCAGAGTGTCTATACAAAGAAATATGTTTGCAGTTGTGGGTTTGATGCCTGTTTTGTCGGCCTTGACCCGCACTCACTGATGGTGTCTCAATAAAACATTCCTCACGATGATTGCATTAAAATTGACTTTTCATTGCTTTTTGATCGCTATATCAACATGAGATTACACTGAATGACATAACATAATTGTTATTTGAACATAATCTGTATCTATAATAACCAATACATAATGTATATGAGAACTTATTACAAAAAGCCTTCACATTGTTATGTCCTGTCTACTTTCACTAAGTGCCGTTCCATGTTCATACTTTTAATGTTTTATTATTGATCTGTAGTTAAAGGGACTGTATGTAATAGTTTAATTATAAATGACCATGACATATTTTATGTTTGTTCCCAGATGTAACACATGTGCAAATCATATTTGTCCTTTACTGATCAAAAGTAGATTTTAAAGATCTTATTCTTTCTGTGATTATCTGATCATAGAGCAGAATGAGGATCTCATTTAGATTGCCAGTTTCTTAGAGGGTATGTAGCTGATTTTGGATTTATTCTTTTTCTAAATTGTTCTTGCACATGTTTTTAATCGTAGCGGAAACCGAAGCACCTGGATGAAACTACAGTCAGAAAGCATCTGTGCCGACCGGGAGTTGAACCTAGGACCTTTCCTTCGGCCACCAGACTAGATCAGAATTGTTGAGTCTTACAAACTGTTCCCACTACTGTTTTTTCGATATTTCTAGTCCGTGAATAGAACAATGTGCGTGGTGATTTGCCAACCATGTCTATAAAACAAAAAGTTATGAAAACAGTGGAAAATCATTGATGCAACTCTTTCAAAGTCTGATGAATCAGTTCAACCACACAAATCTCTGTCTGAGAGCAGAACCTCCTCTGTGACCCCTACCTCCCACCACCCTGCTCATCATCTGTTCCACCTGCTGCCCTCAGGTACAAGGTTCGGGTCCTGCAGAACGGCCTGTAGCCTCTGGTTTCAAAGAAGAAAAATCATGCATTATTTTTGGCCATTACAACTTATAATGGCACTTTTTACTTTGCTGTGTTATGTTTCAGAATGTGAAATAATAGAAGTAGAATGTATGTGGTGAAGCAAGAACGAAGGGTAAGAATGCATTCCTCCTGCAACTTTGTATGCTACCACCAGAGAGAGGAGGTGAATAAAAAAATAAAAAAAGACCAGCTACAATTACATCCATGCGATTTCCATTTAATTTGAGAATTTGAAAGAACTAATGTATGGGCACAGGACTGAGATAGGAACTTTTAGACTGAAAGGCCAATAGTGTTTGTGCCAGAAGATCTTCACATTTGGCATGAACGGATCTGAAACAACTCCTGGACAGTTTGATCTATCTGAAACAACTCCTGGACAGTTTGATCTATCTGAAACAACTCCTGGACAGTTTGATCTATCTGAAACAACTCCTGGACAGTTTGATCTGGGAACAATGTTGTGACATGGTTAAAAGCTCATAAAAGTCAATTTGCAAAACATGATTGCTGAAAACTAAAAACACATCCACACTTATGATGATTCTGTGCTTAAAAATATTCACTGCTGAGTCTCTGAACTTATGGCTGGGGTCCATGAAATGTGTGCTTCATGAATAGCAGTAGATGAATGGAGTCCAACAGAAAGAACATTGTAAAAGTAACATTTGGTGAACAAATCAGACCACAACATGCCGTCTTCATCTTAAACATGTCATTTTTTGCAGTCTTGTAAGAAAGAACCCTGTGAGTCCCAAATTGACTTTTTGGAATGAGAGCTGATCAAGATGAGGGAAGGTGCTCCACTCTTTTTAACTTTTAGGACTTAAAAAGCTGATCTAAAGATTCAACAGTGGCCAAATATGCATGCATGTGAAAACTATATATTAACCAAACTATTTCGAGATCCAGGAACTACTGGCGTGGGTTTTAATAAATAGCTTTGTTGTTGTGGTTTGAAAGTTTGGTAACCTAGCTTTAATTCTGTGACTGTGCATTATCATAACAATACAATCTTGATGGAAAAACACAAGGAGAACATGCAAACCCCGAACAGGTCTGCCAATTGAACAGATTTCACCCCTCCCATCACACACATTACATTTTCATACTGTACACAAGCAGCAAACGCAAACACGGCCTCTCGTTTCCTCTCTGCTTTGCATGACGAGCGCTTTGAGGAGGGGCCACTTGACACCTGTCACCTACCCAGCCAGCCGCGCTCGCCTCCGGGGAGCGGACGGGGGACTGCGGAGCTCCCAGTGAAATAGACGCGCGTTTGAAGATCATTAGTGTTACAGGGGCTGTCTTCGTGGTGCTGTCCAAGGTACTGAGCACCCGGCTTTGATCACAGGGGGCCGCGTTTTGTGTCATCAGCGCGGGCCCAGCGCATAAATTATAAAGTTTTACACACAAAGTCAGCAGGTAGAACGCCGGTGCCAATTTCAGCATGATCGGCTGATTGTAAGTAATGAGAGGCGTATTGCGCGCTTGTGTTGCTATTGTGTTTGAGTCGCAGGGTGAATGTATGTGCTGTATATGTGCATCTGCAGCGCGCCCGCTCAGGAATTATTCATCTATAGCTCACGGGGGATTTGAACAGAATGCGGGAGTTGACGTATATGTCGCGTCAAACATGAGTGTGCTTTTAGTTGTCAGATTTGGTTTGGGTGCGACAACAGTATAATTAAGAGGACGTTTGAACCTAAAGCGCGTGAGATGCGTGCAACAGTGTGGGCTATAGTCCAATTGCTAGTGTCATTAAAGGCGACTGCATTCAAAAGCAGAGGCAAATATCCATGTTTTTGTTCATTCAAAGATGCACTAATGGTACAGCTGAGGTACCTTACTTTCAAACCAAACAAAAAAACAAAAGTATATAACAAAAGTTCCTCTCGCTCCAAACTGTTTAGTCTTATTACTCGTTTTCGCCAGCATGTACAGTATTTGGGCCTCTGTCACAACTTTACATGAGCTTTCTCTGACAGAAAAGTGATAGAGAGATGACAAGGATTGTCCGCCAATTAGCTCTCAGACCAAGGATGACTCACATGGGCTCTTTCTTTCTCAAATATAAAGAAAAGATAACTAAATTACTCATAACATACTTTCTCATAAAATAATTTCTCACAACATACTTTCTCATAACATAACCACAGCATGTTGTGGTCTGATTTGTGTTTGAATCTTTCTGTTGGGACAAACAATGTGTAACTTATGAAAAAAACATAAAAAAATGCCTATAAAGTCAGTCATCCCAGCTTTAAATAAAAGGGTTGTTATATGGAAAAAGTAAAACAATAACAAAATAATGAAAAACAGGTACTTCAAAACAAACTTTCAAGTTAAATGGTGAGTCGTTTTGGTGTTTTTTTGGGGGGAAAAAACCCAATGTTTTTAGCTCAAAGGGTTAAACTTAAAGAAAGCTCCACTACTTTTTGGTTGGTTTTACCTGATTTTATTCTTAATATCCAATTATTCCTGATTATTTCAATACTACTGAAATTCCTCATGCTTGAAAATTCCAGTTTGTTTGCAGACCCATAATGCTAACACACACAGAGGTTACATGTTATAAATGAAAATACATGTGTACAGCCCAAACTGACAGCTTACTGGATGCTAACTATAAGCGAGAACTGAGAGTGATTTGAATAAAGCAGCAGTTGGAACAGTTGACAGAACTTCACAGCCATCCCATCCACTACATATGAGCAGTGGCGCTCTTAAGTAACGTGTTTGGCAGCGCGATGCAGTGATTTCACCAGAAAAATGATCATTATAGCTGATGAGGCCCAGCCCGGCTGCGATGACAGTGTGACAGCGCCGGGCTTTTTAATTTGTCGGATCAGATGGTGACACAATCCATCACACCATCCAGGAAACCTTTTCATTTGTGCAGTAGAGAAGGGTGGAAAGGAGGTCAATTAGCAGCCGCCATTAGACAAGCCACTGACATGCTATATATTACAGCACGGGACAGTGGAGCTAATGAGAGGGGAGAGGAGCGCTCTTCCAGGTCGGACAATTCGCCAATGTTCCCAGTGCATTAATCAGCACCACAGAAGTTGACACGCGCCTGTTCGCTGAGCTCTGCTCCACTCTTTACTCGTCTTATGTTTTTGTCACATGTAGTCAAAGGCTCAGATCTGTCACATAGGAACTTCTCATCTCACGCTTGGAGGTTGTATATGTTTGTTATTTATGTTTTCAATATTCAGGGAGGATTGAAGGATACATATGTGTGCAGTGTTTGGCCTAACAGGCCTGGGATAAAGTTATCTGTAACAATAATGTTAATCCTGTTGTGTAGTATGTTATTAAGATTTTAACTAATAACATTAATGTTTCATGGATGGGAGCGGCTGGGGATGATGACCAGTGTGTTGAAGACGATGAAGAGCTCACCTGCAGCAGCAGCAGCAGCAGCCGAGAGCAGACCTCATATCCTCACACAGACTTTATTTGACCGTCTGTCAGGGAGCTGTGCCTCCCTCAATATTGATCTGAGATACCTAAAGGTATGTGACATCATTATGAGGCCTGACCTTATCATGTGCTGCCCTGCAGCCTGAGAGGGGCCCGGGACAGAGACAGGGGCCCCTGAGCGCTGCTGAGGAGAGATGGGGGACGAGAAGTGCAGTTATTTGTTTTGTGACCTCAGGAACTAATCAAGAGCTCTGTCTTTAGAATTCACTTCAATACTGTACATGTCGTAGTGTATAATGGTTTAGTATCTTCCAGATGTACATAATTACATGTATCACTATTTATTGTGTTCAATGTTGCTTTAGACTGTCAGAAACATTTGGATAAAGAATACTGTTGCAGCTAACAAACAGAAGATGAGAGACATTATGCGTTCACTGGTGACTTACTGTTGGGTTTAGGTGTTTGTGGCCCTCAGCAGTTGCAATATTCTTCATCAGGATTACTCCTTTAGCAACAATGCGCTGTCATGACAGGTCTAAATATAGGTGGCATTAGGAGATCAGATAGTCCTCTTTTTGTCAGGCATTTGGAGGTACCAGGCCCACCAGCTGGGCTCCCCATGACCCCCCTTGTGCCCCATGCTCTGCCCTGAGGCAGTCTGCATTTAAAGCTCTGGTTAATCGTGGGACAGCACTCAGGACAGCTGATCTCAGGCTTAGCACCTATTTATGATCCACACAAGAATCAATGTGTGGAATTATAAGAGAAAAATAAATGCAGTCAAGATGGGGAAAGGGTTGTATATTTCATTTGTATTAATGAGAGCTTATAAGAAGGCCAAAGGACAACTGGAGATGTCCCTCTCTTTGCAGACACCGACCTCAAATAAATGGAAGCACTTCAGACCTGCCATTACTTACTGTGTGGCACCAGTTAAGTCAAGTCTCTTAAGTCTATGATTATTGACAAGGGCTGCTTGAACAGGTTTGAAGTTCAGTGCAGTGCAAAGTCTTTTTCATCATTTTTCAGTCATATTTAATGGTCAGAAATTATGCATAGTGTAACTCCTTTACGTTATAAGTGCAAAGGAACGAATCAAACCAAACCGTTGGAACCAGGACTATATGTCTAATGCATCTCCTGTCTCTGCCTTACAGCTGGAGCACATACCTCTACACAAGCAGCGCTCTGGTAATAAAAACAGTAGTCTCTGGTGGTCTGGGTGTAATTGGGATTGTTAGCGTGGAGAGCTCCTGGGGGAGACGGAGAGGAGTACGTCTTTGTGTAAAGTACACAGACACCTCGGCACAGCTCCCCTTGATTCCACAGCCTGCACGAGAACCAGGCAGAGAGAAGCAGCAGAGAGAGAAGTATGAAAAAAGCAAACAAGTCACCTGAGTTGTATCAAGCCCGGCTGAGTGCGTTCCTTCTGTTTCCAATCCTTGTACGGGGAGACACCGCCGATTTATTTAAGCGCCTTGAAGTGAGAGGAATCCTTTCTCGCACAATTCCGCCGAGAGAGGGGCCCCTTTGTTTTGAAAAGCAAGGTGCAGCTCACAGCTTTGCCGACAAGCGCTTTTATCAGTGCTACATTCCCCCCAATTACGCTGTGATGAAAAGCAGTCCAGGTGCCAGGCGTTTCCGTACACTGCACAAGTATTTAGCTCATGGGTTTGACTGCTGACTGTGGAGGTATGAGGTGTTTTTGTGGGAGGTTTGCGGAAATAAGGGGTGTAATGGAAGAGTGGGTAATGAGTGTGGCGGGCCCTTGGAGGAGATATTTCGCTTGGCTTTTGTGCCCTCTGTGATGTCAGTGTGAAAGACCACAATGAGCAAGAGCTATAGCTAGCTTTACAATGTATGATTATGTGATCAAAAATTACAGTGAGTGCAAGCATTGAAAGGGACGGTATGAAATATTTTCATTTTGAATTGACACAAAACACACTTGACCTTTTTACCATTTAACCCTTTTTTGAGTTTTTCTTGATTAAGAAATACATTGGGCAGGATGTTCATAAAATGTATGTTGACGATTTTCAAGCAGGTTGACCAAATTCGATAAATTTATAAATTCACGGCTTATCTAGAAAAAAGTTTGAATTACAACTTATTTTTTGTAATAATAATTTGTAATTCACACCTTTTTCCAGATAAACCCCAGCAGGTGGATTGCATTATGTGATCTGTATTCAGGAGCTACACGTGTCACAGCAGGAAGGTTATAGCAACAAACATGTGATTGTAATACAGACGGCCCCTTTAATAAGTCATATAAAGCTAAGGTACCTGATTTGTAAACATGTTTGGTTTCTAGTACAGATTTAGAAGAGCCTTCACCAAAGGAATGGGTCCAAACCCTTCACCAGTTTGGTTTTATTGCAGTCTACATGACCTCTTTATTTGGTCTGAGTGTTCACGATGAACACACCTTGTGAGGCCGGTTAGATGCAGAGTTGTTTCAACACACCAGCCCGTGTTGCTCAGCGTATAAGAAAAAACTACCAGGGATTTTGGATGATAATACTGGTGTTTGCTCGGTGAGCCTTCTCAGTCTCTCTCTTTTCTTCTTTTTCAAACAAACTGAGAGACCTTTACACAGTGTATCTGTGGGAATCAGATTGAATCCGCTATAACCTGTACTCGTAGCATTCTGATGTCACTCAAAGTTATGAATAAATACTTCCTTTGATGAATAAATAATAAGATAAACAAGTACACTGCATTTACAGTAATGTAATAGAACGTGTATTCAAACACACGCACACACATACACACGCACACCGTGCACAGTGGCAGCTGGCTCTCCTTGTACCTGCACTCATTCACATTAGCTCCTTCAAAGCCATGATCCAGTGCGCGCCACTGTATCCCCCCACCCCCTCCCCCTTCAGAGAAGCGTGCACGCGCACACAGCACCGGAAGTAGCCGCAGGTGAGCGCGCGAGCACGCACGCACTTCAAAGTCAATGAGAGGCCGGAGCGCTCAGATTGATTTGGCTTAAGATATACTTTTTGTGTGTTTCATTGTGGATGAAATTTTTATAGAGCGATTTAGCCGTGGTAAAAAATGAATGGTTTCTTTAAAGTTTCATCATAAATCAGTCGGTGGCTGTATGTGGGCGGACGCACACTGCTCCTTCATGTCTCCGCCGTGGATGAGTCTGAGAGGGTCAGGAGGTATGCAGTGCGCGTGAGGCCTGTGGGTGGGAAACGACTGTCCAGACTTCCTCAAGCCTGCTTTATTTATTGTCCTCGTGAATTTTGAGTTAATTACGCAATGTGACGTACAGTGACATCTCTGACGCAATTGGCACAGTCAGAATTAGAAACGTGTTTATTGTCTGTGCAAAATGAATAGTGCTTTATGTGGTGCAACATGTACAATAAATAAAAAATAACACGTTATTCCGGATGTAAGTCTCCAAATGTTGCATGGTCAAAATAGAAGTCCATAATTATCAATAAAGACTTGAACATTATTCTTTCATAAGACAAAATAAAAGTCGTACTGGTCTAAGGTTTAAAGCCACCATAATTTGTCTGTGACAACACTATATCATTTGACTCAAGACGAAAAATATCTCAACGTTAACCATAACAAAAGAACACTGATTTCACCGTTTTCTTTTACTCTACGGCTGCAAAATTATGTTGGCCAAACAACTATACATGGAATCAAAACGAATTACAACCGTGGTACTATTTTAGTTTTCTAAAAATGTGCATGCAAATGCAAACACACCACAATTCTCTTCCATTCAGGGGAAGAAAGTCAGATTTGAGTCTCACACTCCTCACATCCCGCTCTATAGCTGCCACACTCGGCATGAATTACACGTAAAAGCAGCCCCTTCACAAAAACCTCCACACGCGAGATATGTCGACTGAGACCATGGGAAACAAATGACACGCGCGGCCCCTCGTGTTAATTACTGACTGCTTTTCAATTAACCATGATATGACTTAATTAGAAGTGAGATAAGATAATTGCCTGCTATGACAAGTGTATAGATCTGTGAATAAACGCTGCTTAATGACTTCAGCTTAATGTAATTCTGTGTGCGTAATACAACCATAAAATGTGTGTGAGTCTAAAAAGCTTTTAAAATGCTGGATAATATTATAAATTACTGATAAATAACTGGTGATATAGAGAAATTCCGTGTTTTGTATTAATGAGTATTAATTGTGTAAGTGTGTTGAGAACAAGTCCTAGCGCTGTCCATGGTGCTAGAAAACGCCACAACGAAACGATCGCTGGAATCGGGAAGAATGCGAACGCAACTAAGAAATAAAGGGTGTGTTTAAAACGCGTCGTATGTAGTGCACTTGTTGTGGAGTGAGGCGCGAGGTGTTAAGTCGCTTGAAATAAATGCATCGTTGCGCACTGCCCATGCGCAGAGTCCCCAGCGGCGCGGTGGTGGCTGCTACTGCTGCGGCTAATGAAGAATAATAAATCATGAAAGCCTTGTTCAGGTACAAGAGAGAAAGAAAGAGGGGGACGCGGATAGAGACGAGGAGGGAGAGGATGGGGTGGGGAGAGGAGAGGTGCAGGGGGGGTGCGTGTACGTGAGTGTGCGTGCGGGTGGAGAGAGAGTGAGTGAGAGAGAGAGGCAGAGTGGGGCAAGCAGCAGGCGGAGAGCGGAGAGCCTCAGAGCAGAGACAGACTCGGTCCCCGCAGCATTCACCGGACTCCAAGAGAGCTACTGTCACCAGCTCTAGCTTTATTTCTAAACGGACATTTTTTTCCCGTGTTTATCCGCTATTGTTATTTTTACTGAGCAAAAAACAAAACAAGATTGACGTGTGAATCGCGTGAATAACAAAGGATTTGTTTTTTTCTTAAAAGACTATACTGCACGAAACTTTTTTATTGTTATTTTTCTTTCCTCGTTTTATTTAATTAGTTTTCTCGAAAAAATAGAAAAGAAATATTTTTTTGACTGCGGGGAAGGGACTGCATTTTTCAACTTGTTGTGCAGGTGATGTGCTCTAACCTTTGCATGGCTCTTTCCCGACGCGAGCGCTCCTGTAGCAACAATAATCATAAATACATGTGAGAAGTTGACGGGCATCTCTTGAGCATCCACTTGACTCGACTCAATTGGGCTCCGACATCTCCTCGACCCTTGGAGGCGGAGTCTTAACTTATTAAAGGAACTTGCGGAAGCTCGGACACGCGCAAACATGATGATGATGTCTCTGAACAGCAAGCAGCCCTTCGCCATGGCGCACAGCAGCCTGGCCGAACCCAAGTACTCGCTGCACTCGTCCTCCGCATCCACGATGACCTCCAGTGCGCCGTCCTCCTGCTCGTCCTCTTCCCGCATCAGCAGCACCATCATCAGCAGCAGCAACAGCGGCAGCTCGGAGGCGATGCGCCGCGCCTGTCTCCCAACCCCACCGGTACGTACTCTGCATAATCACTGCTTAAAGGCACGTTCTGACAGCCCACTTTTTCTATGCTTGATGTTTTTTTCATGTCTGCACAGCAAATCACCCAACACCTCCATTTCCAACTATTAATTTTTATGACCTGGGATGTTGCATGCGTCTTGTTCTGTGTGCTCCCTTCTCTCTTTTTTTGTAGGATTTTTTTTTCTGGAAATGTTTTAAACCGAGGAGAGAGGAGCACGGAGAATTCCCTACTGACAACTATGTGTGCATTCTATTTGCAATTGCAGAGCAATATATTCGGCGGCTTGGATGAGAGTTTGTTGGCCCGCGCAGAAGCTCTGGCGGCGGTGGATATCGTCTCGCAGTCCAAGAACCACCACCACCACCCTCCGCACCACAGCCCCTTCAAACCGGACGCCACCTACCACACCATGAACACTCTGCCCTGCACCTCCTCGTCCTCCTCCGCTTCCTCCGTGCCCATCTCACATCCTTCAGCTCTGGGTGGACACCACCATCACCACCACCATCACCACCACCACCAGCCACACCAGGCCCTAGAGGGCGACCTCCTGGACCACATCACCCCGGGCCTAGCGCTCGGATGTTCGGATGGATCAGTGGTGTCGTCCCCCGCGCACCCCGCGCACATGGCGAGCATGAACCACATGCACCAGGCGGCTCTCAACATGGCCCACGCGCACGGCCTCACGCACATGGGCATGAATGACGTGGACGCAGATCCCAGAGACTTGGAGGCTTTCGCAGAACGCTTTAAGCAGAGGCGGATCAAACTGGGGGTGACCCAAGCGGACGTAGGGTCGGCCTTAGCCAGCCTCAAGATCCCCGGCGTGGGCTCACTGAGTCAGAGCACCATCTGCCGCTTCGAGTCCCTCACGCTGTCGCACAACAACATGATCGCACTCAAGCCCATTCTGCAAGCCTGGCTGGAGGAGGCAGAGAAGTCCCACCGCGATAAACTCAACAAGCCGGAGCTTTTTAATGGCGCCGAGAAGAAGCGGAAACGCACGTCAATAGCCGCCCCGGAGAAGAGGTCACTGGAGGCCTATTTCGCCATTCAGCCGCGGCCCTCCTCAGAGAAGATTGCAGCCATCGCAGAGAAACTGGACTTGAAGAAGAACGTGGTGCGCGTTTGGTTTTGTAACCAGCGACAAAAGCAGAAAAGAATGAAGTACTCTGCATGCGTTTAGAGCCACGTGGAACTGTCTGCATTTGTATGATACTATTTCACGACACCTTTTTCAATCATCGAACAATCTGCTGTAAAAGAAAATTAACTCCAGAGTAAACCCATGCTGAGGTGGACATGTGGAACCGTTTGACACAGCAAGTAAGACACTGTTTTTACAATTGACTTTTACGCACAACATGATAGCTGCAGGACTATGATGGGTGCAGGCGCGCGGGGGACTTTCAAAAGCACTTGTTTGGCGTTTACTTCAATGCAGTTTATTAGGGAATAGGCCCTACTGTAAATGACCACACTTCATTTCGTGTTTAAATGTGTAATTAACTATTTGTGTGATGATCTAATGGGGCTTTGTTTTGAAAAAGCCCCTTTATTAACAGAAGGCCTCACGACACCTAAAAAACCCACTGCTTTTTTCTCTTTTTTTCTCCAATATGATTTCTATCCCGGCTGCAATAACTCCAGCGTGGGCCGGCGTCTTATCAACTATTTATTGAGTGAGGTCATGTTTACTTCATTATATATTTATTGGGATTCCCCTCCTTGTTTTTGCAAGAGAAAATCAAATAGTGACAGCAGTGGAGGTGCGTGGTTCGAGGGACGAATCCTTCTGAAAACGGTACAATCGAAAATTATATATGCTTTTGTTTTCTGTATGTTTTGTATAAATATACTTATGAAGTCGTTGCTTGTTCGAATCACCTTAAACATGTTTTGTTTCTTGAGAAAAGGAGCAGCTTTGTGAAACGATGTGTAAATATGTCATTGATGCACATACATATATTCGTACAGGTTTTTGCTGTATTGCTGTTTTAGCTGATCTTTCTGTATAATGTATGTTGCGTTGGGCTTGGGAATATGACCTATTCCTTTATTTCATTCATGTAACTTTAATTTATTTAATTATTGAACTGCAAAAAATGTGTTTCATTAAAGACTTAACTTTAACTAATTCAATTGGACGTTTTCTTGCGTCTCGTGCGCATGCCCCGTATTTACGCGCCTTTTATTTAGTCATCTGATTATTTATGGATGAGGAGGAGGGCAAGTGTTTAGCTCTGGACTGTGCTTCTCTCAGCTCACTGCAGACATGCTTTCTCAAAGTGCTGCCGCTGGTGCATGAGCGTGTTTCCACAACACGCTGCAAACATTTATGCTTTGTGTTTGTGGTCTTGCTGAAAATGAATTTACAGCTGCTTTGTATATCCCCGATAAGGCACGGTCAAAACATGCTATATCATATTACAGTATAGGGCTTAAATTCTGATGTTTACATGAAGACATTCACACAACGTTTTGTGTATTTAATAGCCATATGTATCAGTCCAATTATTGTTGTGATAATTATTACTTCAATTTGTATATATTCAACAAGACATACTTTTTAGGTTTCAAACTTGAAAGCTTGAGATTTGATTAGATATTGGAGGATTATTTTCAGGAAAGAGTCAAAAAAGATTCGAACGTGTTATAGTAATACATTCTATTGTACGTGCCTTCTTGGGTATATTTACACAAACGCACCTAAAGTATGTATCAATGATTGCCAACACATATTTTGTGATTCAAATAATTCATCTATCATTTAAATTATTTTAGACTCTTTGTGTGCATGATAGGGGGCTTCTTCAAATGCTGTTTAAAATGCCTTAATTCTCCAAACATCAAATCAAATATATATGTATGTATTTCAAGCGCTCCTCCTATATTCTTTGAATGATCCAAATGTGTGTGTTTATGTATACTGTACCACTCTGGGCAGGAGGCACGTGGCGATCAAAGTGTAGTTCTAGCTGAAGATGATTGACAGGGTCAGCCGCTGCATGTTCACACACAGGACTCTCCCGCCTACATCCATCCTCTGCTCTACATTCTCAGTCTGAAGCCCACCCTCTTGCCCCCCTCTGCACCCACCACCACAGGAGCGTGCGTGATCCGTACATGCCTGTCTCCCGCAGGCCTCGCACTGCCAGGCCTCACACTGACACCAGTACACGCACACACGCATTCACACATAGGAGCACGTGGCTGCATAGTGGAGCGGCTTAGCCACGGCTCGCTGTTGCCTTACCTGAGAGCAAATGCTAATATTCTATTAGAGCCTAATCAGGAGGTCTGCGGAGAGCTGGATGGCTCCCTGGAGCGCACACTTGCCAGATGTCAGGCCGCCAGAAAAACAGCTCGCCTGCCAACGTGCCCGTCTCCATTTAAATACACACACCCTTTGAAGCGGCACAAAAAGAGCGCAGGGTTATGGAGCTGAGAGGGACCGCGCGGGCTGATGTGAGGGAGGATGGATGGAAGGTTGGGAGCTGAGCAAGCGTTTCAGAACCATGGACAGATCAAGCAGCGAATCAAATGGAGCCGTGTTCTGCCCTCTGCAAAAATACATAACCGTGTCTATTTACGTTCTAACTGCTGAGACTTTATATGGGGCTGTTTGGGAGGTGAAAGACACAGCAGACATATGCTTGACATGTGTTTTTTTCTGGAACAATTGAACTATATCACTCAAGTGCATTTTTACCTCGATTCATACATGTATGATAATAAATGTATGTTATTTAAAACGACTATTAAAACAGTATGGGCCAGTATGTAAATCCACTTCCTGTTCAAATCAGAGCTCTGGCTTTTCCCTGAAACCTCACACAGCGAATTGTCATGTATGTCCTATATTGCACTGTGTAATTATTCTTTGGGGATAGTTGGTATGTGGAAAGAGGAATTGTGCAGCGCCCGGGCTGCATGGAAATTCTAGACAATGCAGTATCACAAATCCCACACAAAACAGTGAATTCAAGTTTAAGCAAAGAAGCAATTGGTGTTCACTGTTCAAAAGAATAACACATGCCTTTAATCAAAAAAGACGTGGTAGCGCTGGCAAAAATGCAGTGACATGCTCTTGATAATCTTGAATGTATTGTAATCCTATGTGTATGTCTGATGCATGCAATAATGCTGATTGTCTGTTCACAATAGGCACTGGCACATATGGTTGAGGAGGAGCATGCTCTGTCCTAAAGAAAAGGTTACACGCTAAATAATTAATTACATATTTTATTAGGAGCAGGCTCTTTATCTAACCCATTTCAGATATAGGCGAGATATAAAAATGGATTGCATAGTACTGTATATAGGGCCTGGAGCAAATATATATCTATCTCTAAGTTTAAAAGAAGTCCATAATTTGCCTCCAGGGCTGTTGAAGCAACCTATTGTAAATCAAAACATAGGTTCGCACAATTATTCCAGAAATTGGTTATTGGAATTAGCATTATTTTTTTTGAAGGATTCAAGATTTACCTGCTGCTCTTTCATTAGCATTTCCAAGATCCTCATTACTCACACCACCTGCATGCCATACATTAGCATAGCATTATTATTAGCGTTTCCAATAGATTCCAATTGCCTTTAGGTGGCCATGTTTGAATTTAATCACACATTCTACCACGTTCAAGAATCCCATTTGCACACATTTTTTTCCACCTCGTGACATGCCTTTTCCAAATACTATGTTTCAACCACAGGAGTGTCACGGGTTACTATGTATCCATCTATACCCCCTTCAACGTCATTTTCCAAGGAGCACGCTAACGAGGCAGCTCTGATGGTTCATCAATTAAAAGATGCTCCTGGTGAGTGGCCCTTATTTCCCCTAAACGAGCCATTGACTTAATAAGAGCGAATTATTAAATTACACAGCGAATTATGAAAAGCAGATGATTACGAGGGGGCCTTCTTAAGTAGTCATTACGCTCCCTGTTAATTAGAGCTGGTCAGAAGGGGCGGGGGGCTCCAGAGGGATCGCCCCTTTACGCACGCGCACCTGGCTGTCTGTTGCCTTCTTATAATGGAAGAAGATCGATGTTTATACTCTTTGATAGCGAATCAATAGGCAGCGCGTGTAGCAAAGGCCTTTCAATGGCACGTCGCGGAGAACCAAGCATTTTACGCGCGATTGTCCTCGCCCTTATGAAGCGACACAGTGGGAGCTTTACCAAAGAAAAAGGCCATCCCCTGCTTTTTTCTCCTTTTGTTATAATTACGCATGTGCTGTGTTTTATTTTTGCGCTCTCCCCACCCATTTCCACCCCTCTTCTTCCACGGGGAGTGGGATAAATTTTTAATGAAGCCGGGGACTGTCGGAGCTCTGCCTGGGGACACACAGTCGAATATTTTAACTGTACATTTACGCCAAGTGTCTGCCTTCAAAGACCACTATAAACCTAGTTGTATTTATCACAAGCAAGTCCTCCCTTTTTTGGATTTACAAATTGATACGCGCGCCAATCAGTAGTGTTGTTGTTGCAAAATCTCTTGTAAACGTTAAATGTTGACAAATAATCGGTAATATTGTGCATGCTTTTAATAAAGGGCCCTCTGAGTCACTATTTGACGCTTTGGGCTGAGAACTGATTGGCTGAGTCTGGCAGGTCCTCTCTTTGTGCCTGGAAAAGCTGATCTGAAGATGTGACAGAGGTCAAAAAAGAAGTGCATGTGAAAAAAAAATAGTTATAGAACTGTAGAACTATTTGATGCTAGTTTCATTATGTATTGAATATAGTTGAAAGTTATGTACCCCAGCTTTAAGTCTCATTTTTGCGCGGTTGTATTTGGATCAGATTGGCCTAACGGAGCAGAGTGCCTCATGTTTAAGCTACGCGCGCTCACTCACTGCACGGACACGGTTACGCGCACGCAAAGCTACACTACGCAGGGTCACTTGGCCGTAGACCGGTGAGAGCGCGTTCCCGAAGCGAGAGGAGATTTTTAAGCAGGAAAAAGAAAAAGCGACATGATGTATGATACGTGCTGTGTGTGAATAATTAATGGTACAATTAGTGTGAGACAAAATAGGAAAACAAAAATACACGGGCGTTTTAATTAAACGAAATAATTATACATCATTTTGTCTTTGTTGCACAGTGTGGCCTCAACTTAAAAAAAGAGCATAGGAATAGAATAAGAAATACGAAAATACACTTGTGCCTTTGTGCG